GCACTCCAAAACATTTATGTGGGCCGATGTGTGATGGGGCCACAGCGCCACTACTGCTCGAGATAGGCACGTCCCCCCCCCCCCCAGCCTGACAGCGACGCGTCCGTTAAGACTGACACGTGTGACGTGGGTCTGCTGACGGGGGGCTCCCTCCGACAGAACCAGGGTGTTTCCCCAGTGTCAGAGGTCCGCTCTCACGGGAGGGAGGAACAGTGATCATCCGTCTCTTGTTTTTCTGGATCCACACGCAGACGCGCAAACCACCTCTGGAGGCGACTCGTGTGTAATAAACCCAGCGGGACAACTGTGTGAGCTGATGACATCATTTTTAACAGCTTCGTGATGGAAAACAGCTGTTACCACTCTGTCAGATCTTACGTGACGGAGCTAGTCTTTTAAAGTGTCAATTCTTGTTTGTGATAAACGAGCCCTCATGGTGGTTGAGTTTAGCTCCACTCCCAGATAAACAATTGTCTGGGCCAGGAAAAATTTAGCTTTTCTTCCAATTTATGGTGAAGCCCAGATTTAACAGGTGTGATGTCAACACCTGAGCCTGCATCACTGCTTCCTGTCTGGAGCGTGACAGCAGCAGCAGGTCGTCCAGGTAAAACAAAACTCTCATCCCTACTCTGTGTAACGGATGCAGGGCTGTCTCCACACACTGAGAACGTACGAGGCGCGAGAGGATAACCGAACGGCAGCCTGTTGTACTGATACTTCATCCCTTGAAAGGAGAAACGCAGGAATTTTCTGTGTTTTGGGATGATAGGTATGTGAAAATAAGCATCTTTCAGGTCGACGGAAAACAAACCAGTCATTTCTCTGGATGTTGTCCAACAGCTGTCTGGTTGTCAACATGTGTAACTGTCTGTCCATGATCACCTTGTTGAAAGCTGACAGATCCAAAATCGGTCTCATCCCTCCGGTCCGTTTGGGAACCAGGAAGTAACGCGAGTAAAACCCTGTGTTTTTCTCTCCGTTGGGAACTCTGGAGATTACTTCTTTTTATCAGAAGCTCTTGGACTTCTGCATTTAGGGATGAGATTTGGTCTGGTGATGACAGGACCGTCTCTAAAATTCCTCCGAACGGAGGGGGTCGGGTTGTAAATTGCAACGTGTAACCTTTGCATAACACCCTGGCCATCCATCTGTCTGGCGAGCATGTTTTTAGCCACTCCGCGTAATGTTTGTGGAGTGGACGTGCATTTAAGTGATGCATCATGTTTTGTACGGATGTCATCCAGTCCACCGCCTCGACCGCCGTCATGTGTCACGGGAATGTTTTCCGAGTGACCCAAGGCGAGGCTTCCTCGAAAGGGCTCTGAATGCGCCCATGTGCTGCGTTCGGACCGCGGACCAACCTTCATGTCTAGGTGGGCCGGTGTGTGCCGAGGCGAAGCGTGGCAGCTAATGACGCCGTGGCAGCTGATGACGCCGTGGGGCTGCGCGTTTGACGCCACTGCGATGAAAACGCGTGTCGCTCCTGCTGCGTGCGGTGTCCTGCGCTGGGTTCGCTTTGAGATCTCGCATCGATGCCGCCATGAGCGGGCGAGCGCTGCGAAGCTGTGAGTGCGACTTCATCTACGCCGTGCCGTTTGAGTGAAGACTGCGAGCCCCGCGGGAGCACACGTTTTCTTTGGTGGGACGCGCGCCGCTCTCGCTGGAAGCGGGACTCGTCACTGGGTTCGCTCAGCTGTCTCACGCTTATGCTGCCGTGAGCGGCCGAGCGCCAAGACGCGGTGGATGAAGGCTGCCTGCGCCGCCGCGGCACGCATTTGCTTCGATGCGGCGTGTGCCACTCTCACTGAGAGCGAAGGTCCTCCACCGACCCGACCTGCGGTCCCACATTTATGCCGATGTGGGCCGGTGAACGCCGGGGAGCTGTGTATGCACCATCACCATCATCAACGCAACGCCGTTTGGGTGAAGGCTGTTTGCGTCGTGTGAGTGCGCGTTTGACACCGCTTGGGTGAGGATCGTGCAGCTCGGGTTGACAACGAGTTATTTCGCTTACCATTGTGACGTGTGAGCGTCTCGTCATGTCTTGGAGCAACGGTGAGTTTAAAAAGCCCTTATTAAAGACACCGTCTCGTTATGTGTGGAGGGTGTGTGCGCAGCCGCTGTGAGTCCATCCGAGCTTACAGACTGACTAGAAACAGACACTTGATCATTGAATTATGTTTTATTCAACATTTGCGTCATATTTACACACACCCTCTGCAGACCATCATTCTGAATCTTTTCCACCATGAACTCTGGGATTTGTTGGCCCAGGGTGCCGTCTGCTGGGGGTCACTGGGAAAAACGTTGGACACTCTGTAGCCGGGATGAAGAGGGCTGGACGGGCTGAAGCTCAGCGAGACGGCCGTGGAACCGTCTTGCCACCGGCTCATTTTGTATGGAGGGTGTGAGAGAGCAACTGTCAGATCATCTGAGCTGACAAACTGGCTAAAAATGGACACTTTCATCATTAAATGATGTTTTACTCCAAACTCGTGTCACCTACACACATTCTCTGCTACAACCGTCATTTGCTATGCCATTTGTTGTCCTAGAGCGCCATTTGTTGGCGGTCTCAGGGAAACGCTGAAAAACTCTGTCCTCCGGCTACAATGCGGGCCAGCAGACAGCAAAGACGCGCACCAGTTGGGGGTGACGTCAGCTGCTCTGCAGACGGAGCGTTGTCTCCTCCCGCCTCTGAACATGTACGCCAACAGCGTAATGTGTTGTTCGCTGCGGCCGTCTGGAACGCATGCTGGTGAGCTCAGTCGAAGATCGGTGTCACCGTCTGGATTACGATAACCGGAGGCGTGGGACTCTAGTCCACCTGGACATCTTGCTCCGATGAAGCCTCCGTCAGGCTCAGCTCCAGGGGCAGAAGGAAAAACCGCTCGGTGAAAACCCCTCTGCTCTGGTGATGGGCGCGGGCTGTGGGAACCGGGCCCCCAATCTACCAGGAAAACCAGCTGTGGCCTCGTCCCGTAGGACGCCCTGTTGGGAAAAACGAGGCCAGATGGGGTCAGGACGGTGAGCCGGAAAAGGAGCCTAGAAAAAGAACCCTCCCGCCGGATCATCCAAACTGGCGGGAAAAGGCGCGGGACGTAAAAAAGGTCCCTTCATGTCAGCAACTTCTGAGTTACGCGGGCAACCCCAGAGGGTACCGTCGGCTGGGAGCGGTGTGATCGCTGATGCGAAACGAGGTTGGATGAGGTGAGCATTCGCTCAGCCCCCCTCCACCGACACTACGCTCTCCAGGACGGAATGAGCCGCGGGGGGCCGCTGCCGACGCTGCCTGTCCCGGAGGAACCATCCGATTTGCTCCGGGGGTCGGCGATAAGAGGAAAATTACAAGATGGCGTTGTCCAGCGTGTGGCGACCTGTCACTGAGAAATACTCCTCGGCGCTTACCTTGAAACAAGACTGCTTGTCAGCTTCTCCTCGGGGAGGAGAGCTCACCGGGACGACCGGAGGTCGACGTGACGGGCCAAGCATTCTTAAAGGTTGGTCATCTACACAACTTTCCTTCTTCATTCTTTTGACAGTGCTATTAGCTCGCTGAAGAAAAATGGGAGGTGATTACCCGCTCTTAACGTAATCTATACGGACCGGGTGGGGCCCACACAGCAGGTGGGCGTGGACTAAATTTTTCAGTGTAATGCTTCGCAAAACGGGATAACCCATCAGCGACAGTCTTAAAGGGTGAAGCTTATACGAAATAGAACATGCCCTTGAACAATATCTTAGAAACAATACAAACTTGTTTTAACTGGCCATGAGGTAGTGCTCTGAAATATAAATGAAGTTCAGACAATTCTTGTTAACAACAACAACAACAACAACAACAACAACAACAACAACAACAACAA